ATGGACATTCATGTTGACTGCATGTATATGATTTTAAAAATAGCAACATGCAATTTTATTGCATAAAAAAATAATTATATAATTAATAAAAATGCAATTAAATTGCATGTTGCTATTTTCAAAATCATATGCATACAGTCATTGAATGTCCACAAATCACAAATAAAAATTTTAGTGCACATTTTTAAATTTTAAATGCATATAAATCGTTTTTTCCTGGGGCTCAACTTACCTACTGCCTTATTTTTTCCGGGACTCAACTTACCTACAACCTATTTTTCCCCGGGACTCAATTTATCTAGTTAGGGTCATTTGGGACTCAATTTACCAACCCCGTTAACTATTTATGAGCATTTGAGTTARGTAAACGATATTAGATATTTACCTTTTTTTTTACTGTTACCGCCGATAATGACGTAAGGCTCCACGATCGCTTTAACTGCGGTAGGTTAGGTTAGGTTAGGTTACCCTTTAACCCTTTCTAACCATTCAGATTAATTAACTTAAATCACAAACTATATTAACCATAAATTAATATTCATTAAATATAGATTTATAAACGTTTTTATATWTTAAGTTCATGTATTGTCATGGTGATAAAAGTACGTAATGTAAATTTTTATAATATAATCTTTATAAGACATTGATATTAATAATATTATGTTGACATTTTACAAAAAGCATTTAGAACACGATGAAAATAACTATCGTTTTATTAGTTTCGATTAAAATAGYATATTTATTCAAATTAAATCCTACTTATAACAACAGTAAAGGACTTATATATAATGGTACAAGATATAACTCAAGAAAGTATCCGTTTGTAGTGACTATTAAAATATTTGAAGACAGTACTGAAGAAAAGCTCACGATTTGCACAGGTTCATTAGTAAAAGAATTGTATGTATTAACCGCTGCTCACTGTTCTTTCAATAAACGTCCAAATCTCCTAAATGTAAGTAAGCATAATATGCAGTTTTTTCATTATAATTAACTAACTATAGTCCARAAATATTCAAACTGTGGGTCGTGGCTCCCAGGGATATCACAATAGTTGGTGAAGGTACATTAAAGAACTGGAAATCAAAATTAATRTAGATAATAGCTAATAAGTAATTATTATCAATGGTAAAAGTCAATATTTAGCTATCCAGATGTTTTTTAACTCAGTTAAGTTAAAAATTGTATGGAAATTTAGAACAAACTTAATAAATTAAATTAAGTTTTTTTAAAATTATATAAATAGCCATTTTTTTGGTTTAAAATAATAAATGTTATTGCAATACGCATCTTCAATAATAATTGTATAATATTTTGATTTTGATTATTAAGTATATATCAATAAATCTATTGAGGTAAAAATTAAGTTTTAAAATGTTACCTACAAAGTTCAAATTTACTAAACTTAAATTTTTTACTCGTTTATACCTAGGCTTGGTAAATATAAATACAATTTTTATAGCAATTTGTTAATATAAATATTATCATTATAGTGACTATGGAAACGACAACGAAACACACTTGATCATTTTAATAGTTTTATTTCTAATACTATAGTCATTATTATTACCACCCATACTGTATCCTACCCGAGTACCTATTGTTTCAATTTATTCTTAACAATATGAGCGCTTTCAAAATATTGTAAACACACGAATAAGCCGAGGTATGAAAATTTTTGAATAGCTCTGAACTATACATTAAATCATACACAACAAATTTAAATACGCAACAACTAATCAGTGGCGGATTTGAGGGGGTGACGTGGTGATTACCCCTCCTTAGAGAATTTTTTTAACTTAAATTATAGCACCATATGATAAAATGAACATGAAATTCATAAGTCATAGCTATAACATTAAATTTATAAATACGAGTAAATTATACAAAAAAAGGTATTTTTTTTTTTATATTAAAATCGGAAATATGTATTTAGTTACGTCTTTGTTATTACTTATTTACTTATCAATCTATGATACCAATTCGCCCACTCCTCAAATGATCTTCAGATCCACTACTGCAATTAATATCCCAATATCTATRTTTAGGTATATTCTGGTTCTGTTGTGAATAATTATGATTATCGAAGAGTAACCGAGATACACATTCCCAACTCGTATAACGCCTCATCAGATGTTTCAACTGGAGACCTAAGTGTGTTGAAAGTAAGCGTTTAGCGGAATATTATTTTTAATTTTTTTTTGATAAATAAAGATAATGTTAAGTTTGAATATAATTATAACACGTAAATATTATATATCAACACATTTATTATTAACGCAATATATAGTAATCCGCTACACAACATCGCAACGAATACTAGTTCTTARTGTCATATAATACATGGTAGCACTCGACTGGGTCGGCCGCGGTTCGCGCTACTATCGATAAGACGATAACCGATAACGAAACATGTAATATACTATATAGATACAACAGATAATAAAAAATTGCTTTTTATCTACACTTGGCCATCCATTATGAAATTCACTCTTACAAGCAGGGGTGTTCCTGTAGGGAGAGCGAAGGAGACGACCACCCCCCCCCCACCATAAGGTAGACCTACTTACATAGTAATTATTCGTGAATTTTACAATTTATATTAAAAAATTATTACGTCAAGAATTAATTTACATAAAAAAAATATTGATATTTTAAAAAATTGAAAAAAATAAACTAACTTAAATAAGCCTTTTTACCATAATTTTTTTTTTATTTTAAATATACAAATCCACTATTTTGAATTTTTCAAAAAAAAAGTAAWTGTATAATGATTGTGATAAAGATCAAGCGTCTATGAATGATATAAAAAATAAATTAAACATWAATTAAATCAAAAATTATTCCATTTGAGAGGTCATTTTGTCATTCTCATACAGTGATACAGTCTCATAATTATAAAGGACGAGCAGGTTATGTGGAATAGATCTACCCAGTCGGGTAATTACTTGGGGATTTGAATTTCGTATTTTCTTGACTACTCTAGAGAGTACCTAAGTAATTTAAACAACGTTAGAAAAATATTCTAAGTGTTAAATCCAATCCGTGACTTATATACTTATAGTTTCCCTTCTAGGTCAAATTATTTCACGAATTAAGGTAAACTGACTCAGATTTGTCTATGTACACTACAATTGACTCATATTCAAACCGAGATACACCTATATGGCGTATATACTTTCTATACCTACAGGATTTTCCACAAAAAAAAATTGCACACATGTGAAGCCGTCGCACAGTCTGGTGTTTTTGCAACTTCTTGTAAAAACTCCAATATTCATGTAACAAGCATAACTTACACACTACACTACATTAAAGTATAATTCATTAATTACATTTAATTTGTATAAATTATCTAATAAAAAACAATTATTGAATTGTGATGAACTATCTCCACAACCCAGGCCCGGCTCAAGGGGTAGGCGGCATTTTTTAGGGGTGGCATTTAACATTTTTGTTGTCAAGTTCTAATAAAATGTTTACATTTTTATTATGTTTTTATTAATTTTAGATTCTGAGCGGAACGATGAATGTATTGATTTTACCATGATGTGTGTTTTTATTTTTATTTTTTATTTTTTTACGTCTGTCATCACGTTTTGGGGCATTAAAAATGCTTCGATTTTTGACTTCAGTACTTTGTTAAATCAGAAAGTGAATTTAGTTGGTATTTTGGGGGGTCAAATGTAAACATTTTTCAATATTTTTCTAAATAATCGGGATAAACAAACAAAAATTAAGGGAAAAYGGGAAATTTTACGCACAATCAGTTTTCGACAAAATCGATTTTGGTTTTTGATGTAACTTAAAACAATTAATGACCATAAAAACATGAAATTTTCACCATGCAATTTTCAAAAATTGTCGACTTCAGTTGAACTATTAATAGGTATATGCAATTTTCGATCATTATTAGTTTTTAGATTCTGAACGAAGGGATGAATGTATTGAAATACGTAAAAATTACGGCAATGTTCAAATTATCTTAGATATAGAAATTCATAAAAGTTTTTCTTTTTAATTCTAAGATATGAAATTTAATACAAGGCTCCTAACATATTTTTACAATAGCAGTTGAAAACTAAAAGAAATACATAGTCATAATTTTTTTTTATAAGCATTCAAATTTTGAATTTTGACAACATACGTAAAAATCATGAAAATTCGTAAATTATTTTATGCTAGAAATTCATAAAAAATGTTCCTTTTATATCTGAGATTTGAAAATTTAAAACAATGCTCCTAAAATATTTTTACAATAGCAGTTGAAAACTAAAAGAAATACACAGTCATAATTTTTTTTTATAAGCATTCAAATTTTGAATTTTGACAACATACGTAAAAATCACGAAAATTCGCAAATTACTTTTAGCTAAAAAATTCATAAAAAAATTTCTTTTAAATCTAAAATTTGAAAATTTTTAATAATCTATAGGTAATATATCCTAGAAAGATAAACCGTCTCTGTTCAGAATCGTTTTTCGTATACAATGATATAATATCATTAGATTCAAATTTAATTCCATCCATTACAGTAACCCACTTGTAACCTACTGTACCTACAGCAGAGCGACATCCATGACTTACCCGCTTTTTTGTATTATAATACAGTTTTATAATACAGTTAATTTTAAATTAGTAGGGGTTTGCATGTCTATAAATATATTWATCTAATTAATTGTTAATTTTATGTAAATAAATAAAATGAACTCAAAATTAAGACTATTTCAGTATTGTTTATGTAAAAAAAAAAAATTTGATGTAGTATTTACATGTAAGGGGCGGCAAAACTCAAGTTTGCCTAGGTGAGTTTAAGCACTTAAGCCGGGCCTGCCGGGCTCTACCATATACATTGCCTCTCTGACCAACGTCGTTCGTTCGGATCGGATTGCGACCGGAATACCCAACACCGGTGGTGTCCGCATGTTCGGTTTGGGACGGGAGTATGGGCCGTAACACGATTGCGGACTTTTTACCTTTTTACCTGAAAAAAACATAACACGATTGCGGACTTTTTACCTTTTAATATTTGAGAAAAAACAACAYGATTGCGCACCTTATAAATATTTTACCTTTGAGCAAACACAAATATTTAAATAATTTGAAATAAATGGTTATAGTTTAAGAAACTCACCTATAGTATAGTATACGTATACACAATTGCTACGGCCAGTGGATACTATTATTATAATATGGCGTCTAATAATATTTTATTACTCTAATAACCGATAATAACTGATAAATGTTAGTGGCTGTGCTTTTCCAACGTACGACTGTACGAGTATTCACATCCGATGGATAATGACGCGTAATTACTGTGATATATTATAAGAGTTTTTTTTTAYTATAGGTATACGTATTAAGTTATTATTAATGTTGGTAAATTTATTTAAATATTTGTGTTTGCTCAAAGAAAAAATATTTAAGGTGCGCAATCGTGTTGTTTTATCCTCAAATATAAAAAGGTAAAAAGTCCGCAATCGTGTTATTTTTTTTTTCAGGTAAAAAGGTAAAAAGTCCGCAATCGTGTTGCACCAGGGAGTATGGTGTTGATGCATCAGGTCCGCCGTCACTCCAGCACCCCAAGTTTAAAAATTTTACACCAAAATTTCACAACATTATGTAACCATGATAACTTTTTTGTAACTTACAAGAAAGTTCAGAATTTCGAAATGAAGTACCTTTCAAAATGGTCTGATTGATTTGAAATTTTCAGGAGATTATGTAACCATTTTGTAACCAAATGTAATCCAAAATTCGAGATGCTTGTTTTGGCTTTATTCTAATAAGAACCATTTTAAGGATATTAATAATTAATATCGTAATATTATATACGCACTGATGTGTGTAATTATAACAGTATAATAAATAATATATTATCATTTATAATATTATATACCCAACAACGTATGTATTATAATTTTGAAATAAAGGTTTAATACTATAATTTATTATTATTTTTAGTTTATACTTATGAATGTTTTAATTTTATTGATATTTTTTTAAATATATATATATATATGTCGAGGCATAATATAGTCAAACAGGCATTTAATTAAATGACTAGGCATTAACTAAATGCCTATTTCATGCCAGACAAATAATAAAAAAAATGTTATATTATTTTAAAATTATATATTCTATCAGTTATTTATTTAAACGTAATAGACGTACTAAACTAAATTATTGTACAATTCAATCACATGTTCTGTATCTTTTTCCATACGCCATATTTTTGTCGTTATAATCGATAAGATTATAATATGTCCCACGGTACCCACTCAATATAGATAAGGTTCTCATACAACCTAGTACCTACGTTAATTTTCCAAGGTAAAAACCAATGGAACTTTTATTTTTATTTAATAAGAATATATTATAGTAGGTACTCACTACTCATACTATAGAGATAGACTATAGGTACTGACTATATATAGGCTATACCAGCGGTCGCCAACCTTTTGGACCTTGCGGACCACTGAAACCATATTCTAAATTCTACGGACCATCTATATCTTAAAATAGTTTTTTTACATAAACACCGTACTACTACTAATACATTTTGCACCAAAATATTATAAAAAAATACATATTATGTAAAATAATAAAAAATGTTTTATTTTTATTTATGATTAAAGTTTTAAGTTTTAATTAAATTTGAATGTGATATTTATTCCTGTTTGTTTTAAAGAATTTCGTGCAATTTTGGCTAATAAAATAATATTGCAAGTTAAGTTCAAATTTTTCCGCGGACCACCTAAATTTTYACGCGGACCATCAGTGGTCCACGGACCACCGGTTGGCGACCGCTGGGCTATACAATATACTCGTACTATCGTTTATGTCTATCACATCTAATTATTTATTACCTGAATATATTTATGATTTCATTTTTAAAACAATACTAAATAATAATTAACACAAAATTAAACATATTATTTCATATTATACCTACGTGTTTTTCATATTAATAAATAATATACAGCTTTTTTATGTATAAAATAGCAATAAATAACTGATAGAAAATATATTTAAATTTTTAAAATAATACAAAATTTTTTTTTATTATTTGCCTGGCATGAAATAGGCATTTAGTCAAATGGCTAGGCATTTAACTAAATGTCTAGGCGGATAGTGAAATTGCATAAACATTAAATTCTTTGACTATATGCCTACGACATATACATATAGGTATATTATATAATAGTGTTTGTATTTATATTTTTAAATCATGCGTATTATTTATACCCAATTAATTTATGTTTATATTTATAGTTTTGAATTTATCAAATCCGACTTTGTTTTGGTTTTTAAAAAGTAATTATTTTCGTTGTAAGAAGGTTAATATAGACAATCATGATGAAATAAATTTTTATTGTAACACTGCAATGGCGGCTATCATCTAATAAATGTGTGTTTGCGTATTACTGATGATAATTCTAAGTACTCGTCCTCCTGTACAAACATATTTTCTTAGAAAATACAAATTACCAATAAACAATTAATGAGCCACATATTTTTGGTGATTTTTAGGTGTTATCAAAAAATAACATTTGTCTCATATTTATAATTTAGTTACAAAATGAATAATATTTTTTAAATCTTCACTTTTTAAAAGAAAAATACATATACTAAATAGGAAATAATTACAGCAAGTATAATCGAATTTTAATGCAGACATAATAACATTCTGTTGAATGTTCACCAGGCGACGAAAAAACAAAACAGCAGAGCACAAAATATATAGGGTTCCTATGAAGAAAAAAATACGTGGTCAGCTAGTAGTCACACAATGACACAATAGGTACATATTTAGATTGAAATTGAGCTACACTGTTTTCAGTTATTAAATCACCAAATGATGCATTAAAATTGCAGTCAAATTTAGATAAATTTGTCGAATGGAGTCGTGTTAATCAMCTTCCATTAAATATAAATAAGTGCAGTGTGATAACATTTTCTCGAATAAATAATATAATCACCTATAATTATTTGATTGATAGTTTTATAGTTACTAGAGTTTATTMTATCAGAGACTTAGGGATTATTTTTAATTTTAATATGGATTTTTCCATCCATATTAACACCATTGTTAAAGAAGCTTTTAAGATGCTTGGTTTTATTAATAGAAGCACGATCAATTTTAAAAATACCAATGCCTTAAAAACTTTATATTTTTCCCTGGTTAGGTCTCATCTTGAGTTTGGATCAATTGTTTGGTCACCTCATTATTTTTCATATACCAGTCTAATTGAAAATGTTCAGTATAAGTTTCTAAAACTATTATGCTTTAAATTAAATATACCCATCACAAGAGAATCATATAAATTGCAAATTTCCCAATGGGGGATCGCGGTTGATTTGAGGAGAGATGTTGCGGATATTATGTTCTTATATTATGACTTATTAAATGGTCTTATTTATTCTCCGGAATTATTATCTCACATTGGTCTTAATGTACAAACTCACGTATTAAGAAAATCCAACTTTTTTCATGTTTCTCTTTCCAAAAATAATTATTCTTCCACCTCGTTTTTTCTCAGAGGCTTTGGCTAACAGTATAATGGATAATGTTGATTTTTTTGGTATGTCGCGTTTTGTCTTTAGACATCTGGCTTTAAATTTAAATTCTCTTGTTTAAATATTTTAAATATTATTTTATTCTTATTAATTTTTTTTCTCTTTTTTTGTGTATCCATTTATTGTTAATTGATGATTTTTACTGTACTTTATATTTATTCTTTTTTGGCTGTTAACTATTTCCATTGTGGCAGTGTTACAAATAATTTTACATCATTATTGTGTCTAATTACGTTATAAGATAAGCTACACTGTACTTATATTTTTTCTAATTGTTAAAGGGTTTAATACCCGTTTATTATACATAAATAAATAAATAAATTTACAATATAATTTATAATTTGACTTTGTTTACAAACTAATTCTTATATATTATAGACCTAAAATTAAAAATTGTTTAACAATCTTTGTAAAATTAATACATCCTTCATACTGTCAATAATAATAATACATTTAGTAAATAGGTTAAGTAGTAAAATAAATTATTTAGTAATACTAAAACCTAATAACGGCCAAGAAGGAAAATTGGAATATCTTCTGGAGTTAAACGTATCCAAGCTATTTGACTAACAAATACAGAAATAAATTTATAAGTTTACCAAAAAAAAAAGCCGTTTAGGCTTAAGTTTAAAAATAACGTAAAAATGATTACAAAATCTCATTAATTTTTATTAATATTATTTTATTTTACATATCATTGTTATAGACTGTAATTTTATTATTATTATTATTATTGACAGTAAAAGAGTGTATTCATTTTACAAATATTGTTAAAATATTGTCAACTATATGTCTATAATATATAAGAATTAATTTATAAACAAAGTCCAATTGTAAACTATTTATAGACCTTATACTAATAGACTGGCCTTTTGTACACGTAGAACAGTCATAAATAGAGTGCGCTTTTCATGTGTTACCTGTGACTGCACAATAATAGCAATTATCGTATTATCGTAGTCTATTTTGAATTTTGAAAATACTATTTTCATTATGCCAATATCGGTACATGTTTAAGTGCTCGTTTAAGTTTACTTATAAGTTATAATAAATTATTTTAAATTTGTTATAATGGTATATAAATGTCACATTTGTAAAATTGGTTACACACCAGGATTAGATGTCTCTTTACATAAGTAATTATTTTATATTTTATAATTAAAATATTAAACAAAACTGTTTAGTAACCATTTTTTAAAACTTACTACTTAGCTTCTTATTTAATATTTTATAATTAGTTAAAACCCTGCAAAAGCCATAAGAAAAGTAGAGAAGTTATAATAGTACAATATTATTGTACAATTGTACATTGTACCACAAATTATATAAAACTGTTATATAATCTGTGATTGTACTAAATATACAATGACAACACTGATGTTATTATATTGTACATCACTGCATTATGTCTGACCGGTTTTTACTACAGCTACTCTATAGGCAAGGCCATTCTATTTTCTATTAGTATAAGGTCTATGAAACTATTCCATAAATCATGATAACGTATCTAACTGACAGTCGTGTAGAATGCAGCCGATCATTAAATGATCTTAATATTTGTTAAGCCGAATTCAGTTACGGTGGAACCGTGTATTTTGACCCAGTTAAATTTTACCCCCCGGTAAAAATCCACTAATGGAATTTTACCGGGGGGTAACTATTCACTAGGGAAATTTTACTGGAGGTAAATATCCACGGTGGGGTTAAATATCGCTAGCAAAATTCTACCGGGGGTAAAATATACCTAGCAAATATTTAACGGAGATTAATAATCACTGGTAAAATTTCACTAGTGAATTTATACCGGAAGGTAAAGTATTCACTAGAAATATTTGACCCGAATAAAATTTCACCAGTGAATATTTCCCTCCCGGTAAAATTCACTTGATCAAATTCATAAATTTACACTATTAAATGTTTTTATATAAATTAATATTTTATGTTGACTTAACTAGAAATAAGGTCCATTTTCCTAGCCCCCTCCCCCCTAAAAAAAAAAAAACCAAAATAAATAAATACATTTTATCAATTCTTTTCCTTAGCCTTTTTTTGGAATGTTTTATATTGATTAATGATACTTATTTCATTTACACATATATATAACCCACTGAGGATTAAAAATCAATTATTTTAGGGGAGCCAGTAAATTCCTCAATTTTTCAAATTATCGTTTGGAATTTGTTTGTTACGCAACTTGTCATATAAAATATTTAGTGCGAGGGAATGGAATTCGGTTTAGTTTTATATAGTGGGAAAAAAGGTATATATAAAAACTATCATACTGTTCTGTGTTTGATGTGTAAAGGTATAAAGGTACCTAGGTAAGCTTTACATTGAAATCTCTAAATACTGTACACTCTTGGTCACCAAAACATTCGTCCGTTATTTAAAGGGAAATAAAATGAGTACATGTATCGCTGTTGAGAGGTGTCTTTGAAGGGAGTTCACCGTAATATATAACCAACTTATTTATTCGATAAGACATACAGTGGACCAAATTTACTGTTCAGTACAATGAGTATACAGCGAATAACCTCTAAATACCGGACACTATCGGTTTCCAAAATTCTGTCCGCTATTTGGAGGTGTTTGCTATTAATAGGGTAATATGTAAGACGAAGAATTCAAACACATAATAAATACCTAAACCAAACATATTATTTTCAAATAAATAATATTTTATTAAATCTAGTGGATTTTTACCCTGGGGTGAATATTCGCTAGTGAAAATATCACTAGTGAAATTTTAGTGGGGTAAAATATACGTAGCGAAATTTTACTCGAGGTATATAATCGCTCGTGAAATTTTACCTGTGGNCTCGAGGTATATAATCGCTCGTGAAATTTTACCTGGGGGGGGGTAAAATATCACCAAGTTAAATTTTACTAGAGTAAAATTAACCTAGTGAAATTTCACCGGAGGTAAAAAATCGCTAGTGATATTTTACCCTTTATAGTGGGGTAAAATATTACTGAGGTAAATATTCGCGGTTACAACGGTTCGTAAATACGTGACCCATCTATACTCCAACATCTAACCTCCAACTAACAAAATACACTACCACTCTGGCCCAAGAGGACGAATATCAAAGTGAATGTGATAAGATCACGGTGGCTCACTGTTCTATGTCCCGCAATCCAGCACGCTTATTTGCAATGATGTATTTATACTAAAAAGTCAATGCTTTGTAAATTCGTCAGATCTGACGAAATCAAATATTTTAATTTTTCAATGTGTTATTAAATTAATAGCATAATATAATATGATATAGGTACTATTTAATTGACTATTATGCTTTATATTATATCAAAATACCAACTTCATACATAGGTAATCATATATTTATATTATTTTTTTGATTAGATAAAATCACCATTCCCAAGAGTTAATAGATATATACATATTGGTGGMGACCCATTAGAATTTGCCGATCTCAAACCAGTAAAATGTGTTTGTATTGGATTTGGTAGTATAAATAAAAATAACGATGTGGAACTAAACGGATTAATAATGACCACTGATGTCAGATATGGTCAAAAAGCTTGTAAAATATGGGACAGGTAATAACACAATATATTCTGTTATTATTTATATATTTTTTATAACTAGTTAAAATAGTGATTACATAAAAGACTCGTGGCAAGAATATTTATGTGCGGTTAGCCCGTGGCCATCGATGACATGTAAAGGAGACAGTGGTGGTCCAATGATTTGTAATGGCAAGCTTTATGGAGTATGCAGCTTTTATCTCAACTACGCAACGACAGGAAATATAAAAGCTGAATGTGGAAATCCCTACATGCAGACGGTGCACACGTTTCTAAGTTTTCATAGAAAATGGATAGATAATATAATAGGTGAGGATAAAACGAAAAATAAGGAAAAGAAGTAAGAGAAGAAAAAAAAGGAAGAGAAGGAAAAGAAGGAAGAGAAAGAAAAGAAGGAAGAGAAAGAAAAGAAGGAAGAGAAAGAAAAGAAGGAAGAGAAAGAAAAGAAGGAAGAGAAGGAAAAGAAGAAAAAGAAGAAAAAGAAGAAAAAGAAGAAAAATAAAAGGAAGAAAAAAAATTCCGGGAATTCGCTTGAGCTATGCTTTACATTGCAGACAATTTTAGCAATATTATTAGTTGGAAATAATGAAATATATAAAACATATTTTTATTAAACTAAATCGTGATGGATTACATATTTGTATGTGTCTGATTCTGTTATTCTTATGTCGTAATTATTAATTAAATCAAATTTCAAAATTTACGATTAAACCAATCTATTGGTTAGATTAGTAATTTGTTGCTTGTCATCTAATGAATATTGAGGGTCTGCTGGTATTTGAACTGGTTTTGCTTCAATCATATTGAACTTTTACAAAATTCTTTTACAATACAACCTTTAGTACATTACAATTGATCCATCAAATTTTTGCTCAATTTCTGTACCTAAAAATTGATTCAATTTTCCTTCAGTAATATTGAAATAACCAAATATTTTATTAATGCATTTACATCCTGACCCGATGTAGCTGCAATTAGACCATCATCAACAAATATAGCGACAATTAATACTTTGTTATTTTCTCTATTAACAAAAACATAAGAATCTGCTTTTGTTTCTAATAGATTAAAGTTAAGAAGAAATGTTTTGAACTTTGTGTTCCAACATCGTGGTGACTGCTTTAGACTATAAAAGCGCGTTGAAGGCTGCATACCTTTTCTGTACCATCGTTAAACCCTTCTGGTTGACGCATATAAATTTCTTCGTCCAAATCTCCATTTGAAAAGGCTGTTTGAACATCAAATTGTCGAAGTTGTAATTGTTCTGCTGCTGATATAGCTAATATGGACTGAGTCGAACTTTACCACAGGACTAAATGTTTCATTAAAATCAATACCGAATATTTGACTATACCCTTTTGCAACTAGCCTAGCCTTGTATCGATCAACATGTTCATGAACATTAAATTTTGTTCTATACCTACACCCAACCACAATTTATAATAGTTCTGTTCTTGGGTAAATTTACGAGTGACCTTGTTACATTTTGTTCAAGAGATTCCATTTCATTTTTCATGGMTTCTATCCATTTTTCTGAATTTTTTGTCCCCACGCCCCCTTGAAATTCACTGGATCAGATTCAACTACGAAAAAGGCTGAATTATCATAACGTAATGGTTTCTTAATATTACTTTTATCTCGTAAGTTGTACACGCTAACATTTGATCCATTTCCTCGTTCATGTTCTTCATTTTCGTTGTTATCTTCACTTAATGGTTCAAATTCATTTTCCATGAGTTCATCTCCTTCTAATTTATTTATGTGTTCTAATGAGCCGTCTTTGTGTAAGCTAAGAACATCAATGTTATTACTATCATTTAAATTATTAGAACCTTCTAAAAATTGGTCATTCACAACACTTTAATCTTTGAAAATGACGTCTCTACTAAGTGGCACCTCGTTATTTTCTTTATACCAAATACGATACCCTTTTGAAGTTTCTGAATATCCGACAAAGTATCCTTTTCTGCTTTTTGCATCCCACTTCYTTCGTCGTTGTYTTRGAACTAAACTATATGCATTTATTCCAAATTCTATGAACCTTTCTATTTTAGGAAGCTTATCAAACCACAACTCGTATGGAGTTTTACATGCTTTCCCTGAATTACCAGTATAATTTAATGAGAACACTGTATTGACTGCTTCTGGCCACAGTGATTTTGAAAAATTCTTGGCATAGATCATTGTTCTGGCTGCCTCACAAATAGTCCTCATTGAACGTTCAGCTGTTCCATTTTGTTGAGGAGTATAAGGTATACTTGTTTCATGCTTTCTACCAAGATGATTTAGAATTGCTTGAACTTCGGAATTTTTATACTCTAAACCACAGTCACTTCTAATAGTTTTAATAACATTTTTAGTTAGGCTTTTAACCATACCCAGAAAACAATTAAGTTTTTCTTTAACCTTAGATTTATGTTTCATAAAATAAACATAAGTATATTTTAAATAATCATCTTTAAATATAATGAAATATGTATTATCTCCTAACGAATTATCTTCCATGGGTACACATACGTCGCTATGTATTATTTGCCCGAGTTCAGTAGTTATTGTTTCGCTCTGAGTGAACGTTTCCTTATGCTGTTTGCCATAGATACATGGTTCACAGAATAATTGTCCTTGTATATATGTAAATTGTATTTCATGGTGTTTTAAATACTCTCGAAAATGTTTGACATTCTGATACCCAATCCCAAAGAACAGCAAGGATATAAAATCTTTCCTTGGCTTATCAGGATATTACAGAAGATTCATACCTGATTATGGGAAAATTGCGAAACCCCTCACTTCATTATTGAAGAAAGACGTTGAGTTTAAGTGGTCCGATTTATGTCAAAAAGCTTTTGAAGATTTAAAAAACGCTCTCACTAATGAACCTCTGTTGCAATACCCCGATTTTAACCAAACATTCAATCTCACATGTGATGCTAGTGGTTACGCAATAGGATGTGTGTTATCACAAGGCCCAATTGGAAAAGATCTCCCGATCGCATATGCCTCACGAACATTTAATAAGGCAGAGCAAAATTATAGCACAACAGAAAGAGAATTGTGCGCCATAATCTGGGGAGTTAAACAATTTCGACCCTATTTACTGGGCCAGAAGTTCAACATTATCACTGATCACCGAGCATTAACTTGGCTTTTCAATGTCAAGGATCCTGGTTCGCGACTAACCAGATGGAGACTTAAACTAGAAGAATACCAGTATCAGATTCAATATAAGCCAGGCTGTAACAATACAAATGCGGATGCATTGAGCAGAATCAGAGTCACAACTAGAACACAAACATTGAGAAAAGAACAAATCGCAGAATCTTCAGAGAGTGCAGAACCTACAGAAAATCCAAAATCTATAGACACTACAGAATTTTCTAAGACTTCAGAATCTTCAGACACTTTAGAATCATCAAATAAAACAGAATCGTATCAGATATTTTTAAATTCAGATGACTCACCTACGTCTAATGTTACTGAGATAGCAGGCGACATCTTTAGTACATCATCTGACACCTCTCTGGCGCACTGTGTTTCCGCAGATCTTAAAATGTCTAGAGGCATAGCCCTCCAATTTTGACGAAGATTTGGGCAAATACAGCAACTAAGCCAACGAGAAAAATCACTTGAAGATGTTATACTTCTACGAGTAGAAGACCGAACAATTTTCTACCTAATAACGAAGTTACATAGTTGGCAAAAATCAACTTATCAATCTATGTTCAATTGTTTACTAAGACTTARGGTACTTTGCGCAGAAAATCAAATCACCAAAATTGCTTGTCCTAGAATAGGACGTGGACTGGATGGACTCAAATGGGAAGAAATCCGAAAAATGCTTCGTTACATTTTTAGAAACACTTCAATTTATGTAAGTGTCTACTCTAAGGAAGAATTAACCGAAGATGAAAAATTCAGATTAATATCCGAATTCCATGACACTCCCTTAGGAGATCATCAAGGAGTAACCAGAACTTTTAACAGAATATACGCCCAGTGTTACTGGAAGGGAATGAGGAAACAAATCCGAGACTTTATCAAGAAGTGTCCCATTTGTCAACAAAACAAAATAGGGAACAAACCATTGAAGGAACCCATGGTAATCACAACTACTTCTAGCCGACCCTTTGAGAAGATATTTTTGGATGTGGTAGGACCTCTACCAAGATCCCATAAAGGGAATTCATTTATCTTGACACTACTAGATGATCTAACCAAATTTGCATGGGCAGCCCCAATGGAAAACCATGAAGCCAATACGGTGGCACACCATTTTGTGACACAGTTTGTATGCTTGCATTGGTCTACCACAGAGCCTTGTAACCGATTGTGGTACAGAGTTTTTAAGCAAAGTTTTCAAGGAAGTCTGCAACCTTCTTAAGATAAAGCAGACTTCAACAACCCTGTACCACCCTCAGAGTAATGGTTCTCTGGAGAGAAGTCACCGTACTCTGGGAGAATATCTCCGAAATTTCGTTGACAAGKATCCATTGAATTGGGATGTGAAAATTCCATATGCAATGTTCTGTCACAATTCCACAGTTCACTCAGCAACTAAATATCAACCTTACGAATTGGTATACGGGAATCCAGTTGCAATTCCCTCATCCTTATTAAAGGAACCAGAACCTCGATATAATTATGAGGATTACCAATTCGAAATCAAGAAGCAATTACAAAAATCACATGCGATAGCTAAAAGGCATTTGATTGAAGCAAAACATAAATCAAAAGCTCAATATGACAAAAATGCCAATAACAGAATCTTCGAGGTAGGACAGAAGGTTTTGCTACAAGACAAAACCTCAATCAATAAATTAACTCCAAAATGGTTAGGCCCTTTTGAAGTTTTGGAAATTGATCCTACCAGTAAAAACATAACGATAAAAAGAAAGGCAAAGAGGCAAAAGATTCATCCGAACCTATTAAAACCATTCTATGAATGATACTAATGACAACCCATCACTGTTTTACAGAGAATTTAAAATGAACACTTCAACAATAATCGTTGGATACCTGCTTGTTACCTCAATACTCCTACAAACAAAGATGACGGAATGTCAGAATTTTCCACCCGCGGATGTAGCCGCAATTACACATTTCAACAAAACGGAAGGACTTTATTACAAATTTCTAGGCAAATTAAAAGTTACAGACTCCGACTGGAAGCTAATAAATTTTCTTAATCTAGAATCTTACACAACGAGATACGTAGCGTTGTCCAGATTTTATAATACTACGTCTCAACTCTGTAGTGAAATACGTCAGAAAATCGAAAATTCAGAAAATACGCAAAGCTGCCGACAGTTTGCGCAAGCAACTGTTMCATACCTCCATGAAATTGATCAAAATCACCAAAAAATTTTATCGACTATAGGAAACAATGATCAGTCTAAAAGTAGAACCCGTCGTGGACTTAGCAACGCTGTTAGTCGGGTGGCCAACGTACTATTCGGTAATGCTGAGAACATTGATTTCAGATTTATCTTCAACAAAATAACTCAATTGATGAAAAGAGAAGTAAAAGATATCAATTTAACACCGGAGCAAACTCGAATCATTGAATTTACAACCAATGAAAATAATAGCACACTAAATCAGATATTAACGAACC